GTCCCCGCTGTCGCTTGGAAAAAAGGTGACCGAAACCGTCAGCCCCGCCGGGGAGCGGCTCCGGGGCTGCGGGGAGCGTTTCCCGACGGCGAGCCGCCCGGGAGCTTTGGGGAGGGAGGACCCCCAGCTCAGGATGGAGTGGTGGGCAATGCTTGGTAGGGACAAGACCCGTGTGCCGACGTGTTTCGTGTGCTTGCCTTTTTATTTTTCAGAGCGCCGTAACTGTCGAAACAGCAGCCGTCGGTCGCTCCATTCCTTCCTAACAAGAGCTGTGTTTAAAGCCGTGGTGCGCTTGATATCAGGGAGAGTGTGCAGGCTGGATCCCCACTTAAATCACCAGTAACTGTCGAAAGCACAGAAGAGTCCCTGAAACGCTCTTGGACCGACAGAGGTATTCACCCATTTTCCACTCTCAAACCACGTATTTATTAAATCTTTGTCCTTCTGCGCATTATTTAGGCTACCAATAATTTGAAATTTGATGTTAAAAGAAAGAAGCGCTGAAAACTGAGTTATTCTGAGACTGGTAAGCGAAGACCTTCCTTGTACAGGGCCCTGGTCCACGCCAGGGGCTGCAGGCGGAAAGGATCTACCGCCCAGGACTGATCTTCAGTTTTCTATAGGGTGCAGCTATGGGCCTGGTTTCAAAGTCCCCAGTCCTTTGGGATTTGTTTGGCTTCTGCTTCCATCCGCAGGTGAATACACACAGCATCAAACCTCCTTTTTAACGCAGGTGTGTTCACATCAAATCTTCACTTTGCTTAAAATCTCTGGTTTCCATCAGGGTTTCCACTGAAAATTGCAACAAAAGCAATCAAACAAAACCCCGAAGTGTCCAAACAAATCTGGAAGGTTTTGACCATTCAGGTGTTCTTTTTTTCCCGATAAGTTCTTCGTTTCTTTTCTTTCTTTTTTTTTTTTTTTCCCGTTAAGTTTTTCTTTTTTTTTTTTTTTTTTTTTTTTTTTTTTTTTACCTTCTTTTTTCCCCCATGGGAAGTGGTCCTTTGAGGAAAGAAGGCGTTATTGCGGGTCCCTTCCCGTGAGAGGTGGGGAACTGAGAGCAGGAATCATATGGAAAACTATTTCGTGTCTACAGAAATGGAAAAAATAATTCTTTCAACCATTACACATCCACCCAGGATGGGGACGAGGGCTAATAGGAAAACATTTCTTTAACAGCAAGC